CGGCACTTTCGTGGGCTCCTGGGAGGCCCAGTGGAGTGGGGGTTACACGCGGATCGCGTCGGGACCTCGCGGCCCCCTGCGGGGGGAGCTGTCAACTGCGCAACTGTCGGCACTTTCGTGGGCCCCTGGGAGGCCCATCGGAGCGGGGGTTACACGCGGATCGCGTCGGGACCTCGCGGCTCCCTGCGGGGGGAGCTGCCAACCGCGCAACTGTCGGCACTTTCGTGGGCTCCTGGGAGGCCCAGCGGAGTGGGGTTACACGCGGACCGCGTCCGGACCTCGCGGCTCCCTGCGGGGGGAGCTGTCAACTGCGCAACTGTCGGCACTTTCGTGGGCTCCTGGGAGGCCCAGCGGAGTGGGGTTACGCGCGGATCGCGTCGGGACCTCGCGGCCCCCTGCGGGGGGAGCTGCCAACTGCAACTGTCGGCACTCTCGTGAGCTCCTGGGAGGCCCAGCGGAGTGGGGTTACACGCGGATCGCGTCGGGGCCTCGCGGCTCCCTGCGGGGGGAGCTGCCAACTGGCAACTGTCGGCACTTTCGTGGGCTCCTGGGAGGCCCAGCGGAGTGGGGTTACACGCGGATCGCGTCGGGACCTCGCGGCTACCTGCGGGGGGAGCTGCCAACCGCGCAACTGTCGGCGCTTTCGTGGGCTCCTGAGACGCCGAACGATCGCTCCAGGACGTTCAAGGTGGGCCCCAGACGGCCCAAGAGGCTTCCAAGACGCTCCAAGAGGCTTCCAAAAGGCTTCATGAGAGGGCCCCGAGAGGCCCAAACCACGAAATTTACGATGGTTTTTGAAGGATTTGGGCCTTCTCGTCTTTTCGGCTTTCCCGAGCTACAGGACGGCTCAAGAGGCACCCAATACAGCCCCAAGACTGCCCAAGAGGCTTCCCAGAGGGCCCGAATACTGAATATAGGCCCCAAGACGGCCCAAGACAGCCACTCTAGCGAAGAGTACCGACTATCGGGATTTGTCGGTCAGGTTTCCAACGACGATGTCCAGAGGATTTGCTGTGAGCAGGGCGATTTGGATGCGACCGAAACAGCAGAATGCTATTCTCCTGCTACAGCTAAAGGCCCGAGCTAAAGCTTTCGGGTCCTAAGCTTCGGCCACAGGCCCAAGCCGCAGCTACAGGCCCATGAGAGCGGGGTGCGACCGAAACAGCAGAATAGTATTCTCCTGCTACAGCTACAGGCCCGAGCTAAAGCTTTCGGGTCCCAAGCTTCGGCCACAGGCCCAAGCCGCGGCTACAGGCCCATGAGAATGGGGTGCGACCGAAACAGCAGAATACTATTCTCCCGCTACAGCTACAGGCCCGAGCTAAAGCTTTCGGGTCCCAAGCTTCGGCTACAAGCCCAAGCCACAGCTACAGGCCCATGCGAATGGGGTGCGACCGAAACAGCAGAATACGATTCTCCTGCTACAGCTACAGGCCCGAGCTAAAGCTTTCGGGCCCTAAGCTTTGGCTACAGGCCCAAGCCGCAGCTACAGGCCCGTGAGAACGGGGTGCGACCGAAACAGCAGAATACTATTCTCCTGCTACAGCTACAGGCCCGAGCTAAAGCTTTCGGGCCCCAAGCTTCGGCCACAGGCCCAAGCCGCAGCTACAGGCCCATGACTCCACTTGTACGTCATGCCCCCCAAGGCAACGACGTCGGACAACCTACTCATGATCCGAGATCCAGGCCTGGACTTCTTGTCCCGGGGGCCGCCGGCGGACCTCGCCGCGCGCCTCCGCGAAATCGGTACCCGCGCGGAGCGCTGCAGGAAAGCGGCCGCGAAGTTGGCGCACGAGCTCGGCCTGGCCAAGTTCTTGCGCGAGTGAAGGCGACGCCTGCTGGCGGCCGCAGGCGCGCGCCCACGCGGCGCATTACTCCGGCGGAGGAGCAGCGCGCTCGCGGCCGCAGCACGGCGCCGTTGCGATCTATCTGCAACGGCGCAGTCCTCACTATCAGTGGCCTGCGATTCCAGGCGCTCCGTCCGAGTTGTCACTGGCCGTCCAGGCGGGACATGCACGGGCGTTTTGCCGCGGTGCTTCCAGATCTGGAAGGAGCTGGGCGTCTAGAGACTGCTGGCGACGTGACATTCGACAGGTATGCCGAGATCGCCCATCGCGCGATTGGCGCCCGCGAGCACCGCCTCTTCGAGCAGCTCCAGTGAGCCGCTGGCCGAGTGCGCGGCTCGTCCGACTGATCCGATGTCTAGGACGAGTCCTACGAATCTTCGCAGCGCCGCTCCCTTCACACTGCTGATCCACAAACATATGCCCCAGGGGGGCGTCGATATTTCGAAAGCGAGCGCGGGGTGCGGCCCCTTCTCGAAGCGCGCGGCGCTGCCATTGTGGCCCGAGCGCGCGGCGCTGTTTCTCCGTGGCATGGGAAAGCGCGGAAGGGGGGTAAAGAAGGCGCGGCCCTGGTGCAGGCAGTATGTGGACACCGGGATCGAGCGCAGAGCGCTGTTCGCTGATCGGTCGCGCGGCGCCGTCCTCTAGCGCAGTGCGCAGCGCTGCCCCTTGAGAGCGCGGGGCGCTGATTCTTCGTTGAGCGGAGTACACCGCTTGACCCTCAAGCGCGGCGATTGCCAAGAATGCAATGGTCGTCGCTTTCGTGGGCCTCTTGGACGTCCAGCGGATGTTCAGCTATTTTGAAAGCGCCAGTTGATAATGCCACCTGTTGCCAAAGGGTTGGGTACGTCCCTGGGTAATTTGAATTAGCTCGCTCGATTTCCGTGGACTTCTGGATCTTCTGGACTTCCCTCAGTATCTCCGGACGACTCGTTTGGCTTTCCTGGGGGCAACTTTCCTCGCTTCCCATTCCGAAGGCGTTGCCTGCCCCTCCGACTGGGCACCCTCGCCGCACAGGCAGGGCGCAGTGAGGGCTGGACAGGCGGATCACGGGCTCCTCGCGCCCGTCGGCGAAGACCAGCGCCGCTTTGTACTTGATGAGATCTGCCCCAGCCTTCTCCAGGTAGTCGAAACCCAGCAGCATGGGCGACTTAGTCTCCACCATGTCGAACCACATCTCGTTGTCCTCCACCAGCGCCACTGGGTGCTCAAGGACGAACCAACCTCCCCATGGATAGACAATTTTCGCCGCCGGCGTAGGTGAACTTCGTCTTCTTGGTGTAGTCCATCTCGACCTGCGCCTCGCCTGTCTCTGAGATGATGGCCTCCTGAATTACGAGCGCGAGGTCCATCCCAATCATGCTCTTGGGGGCTCCGGCGTCGATGATCGCGTAGCCCACCATCTCCTCGCGTACCAGCCGGCAAGTCCTTCCATCTCCTTCATTGCTGTAGTTATTTTCCTCAGCCTCTACTGCGACCACAAAACCGTGGCTAGCCATCTGCGTGCTGTTGCCGTCGCTTCCCGTGTTCCCGCGCTCCGGGCAGTCGATCGCTCGATGAGGTCCTTGGCAGATCAGGCGCCAGATAATATTGCCCTTGCCCTTGCCTTTGGCGGGTCGCCGCCCTGCTGCCGGCTGCGGGGGGTGGTACTCGACGATCTCCACCTTGCGGTCCTGGAGGCCTTGGAGGACGTAGGGCCGACTTCGCCGCCGCCATCGCCCTCTGGTCATTGTTGGTCTTGTCCGGGAGCTGGCCGATGCCCACCACGGGGAAGTAGCCGCTCCTGTTCTTCGCAACCTCAGCCAGCATCTTCTTGGCCTCTGCGAACGTCTTGTCGGCGTCCTGCGCGAAAATCTCCGCATCCTCGGCATACGCCTCCATCGCCTCGAACTCTTCGTTCAAGGCCTCCTCCTCACAGTGGGCCTGGGCCTCATCCTGCTCGAGCTCGTCGTCCTCGAAATAGGTGGGATACTCATCCTCCTCGTCGCCCTGGTAGTTCACCTGCGCGCGCCTGTTCTCCCGGGTGTTCTGAAACCGCATATCCCTCCTCCTGGACATTCTGTTATCCCTCGCCGTGACGTCCTTGTCCGACCACACGTACTTCAGTTTCTCGATGACCGTCTCGATCTTCCAGTCGCGTACTCCTGCCACCACTGTGGCTCTCTCGCTCGGGTCCAGGTTGGCACTCACCAGAAAGACGATGCCTCCCAGCTCGTCAGGGACCATGTCCACCGCGTCCATGTTCGGGCAGATCGCCCGCATACTCTTTTCCATCTTCTGGTACGCGTCCTTCTCCTGTTCCGCGTAGAGCCCGATCGTCTGTCCAAGCTTCCTGATCCTCGGTCTTCATGTTTCTCTTGTCTTAAAATAATTACGAGAACACCTGGTCCACCACATCGCTCGAGGCCTGCTTGCCCAGGCTCTTCTGGAACGCTCTGATCAGATTTTCGGGGCCCTTCTCTCCAACGATGGTGTCAGCCTCGTCCTCTATCCTCAGAAGTCGAAGCAGCTTCCTGTGCGCGGTGTTCTTCGGCAGCGCCTGCACCACACGTGGGCCGAGCAGCTTCCTATCATGCTCCGTCGTCGCTAGCGTCAGCAACTCCGCCTCGGCCTGATACTCATCCAGTGTCTCCGGTCTGCCGTCCCACGTCGTGGTCCTCTGTATGTCGATGTTTTGGCCCGTGCTCGACGACGCCATGATCTGTCAGAATCACTTCAACCAAGCTCCGCACTACCAAGATATTGTCGATCTCGTCGGGGTTACTCGAGAGAGTTGTCGTATGTAATCGATGTCGAAATCAACTGAACTGAAATATCAGAAAAGGAACCGCTTTTCTCTGTACAGCAAGGAAGGGCTCGATCACGAACCGAAGCAGTAATGATATGTAAACCGCGCACAGAAAGCTCGAGCACTGAATACAGTTACGGAATCGGATCGAAGATTACCCCGAAACTGCTACACATCCCCTTGGGAATCCGATGTCTACGACACCCTCCTCCTTTTCCTCCTCTTCTTCCTCCTCCTCCTCCTCCCTCCTCCGTCCTCCCTCCTCTTCCTCCCTCCTCCACCTCCTCCCGCTCCTCCACCTCCTCGGCCCAAGCCAGCCAGCCTCCTCCTCCGCAACGGTCGGTCCTCTCTATTTGCACATCGCCCACCTTCTGGCGCTCCACGGGGTCCTGGCCGGGAGCACGCCCACATCCGAGCGGCCTTGGCCTCCAGGGGCATCCGGAAGCCTCCATGAGCCTTGCTCCGGGGTTGGCCTTGGATGCGCCCCAGAAGCCCCAAGAACCCAAATCTCAAACCGAATGATTTTTTTCAATCTGGGCGTCTGTCCTTGATTTCGGCCTCTCGAGGTAACTTTTTTGTTGAATCCTCGAAGCATACATACGGTTTGGCCGGACCGCATGCGAATTGCGCCACTGGGGCCTTCGGCAAAGCTTAGTATGATGCCACGGAACTTGGGCGGAGTGGGCCGAAACGGGTGGCGGGACCGCATGCGAACTGCGCCACTGGGGCCTTCGGTAGAGCTCCCTATGGGGTTACGAAATGCGTGAGGGATCTGCCGAAATGGGTGGCGGGACGCATGCGGGCGGCGCCACTGAGGCCTTCAGTGGAGCTCCCGATGCGGCCACGAATGGCCTTCGGTGTGTAGCGTACAATGGGGCCACGAGACGTGTGAGGGGTGTGCCGACATGGGTGGCGGGGACGCGAAGCAAACTGTGCCACTGGGACCTTCTGTGGAGATCCGTACGGGATCGCATGCGAACTGCGCCACTGGGACCTTCGGTGGAGCTCCCTATGGGGCCACGAAGCGTGCGAGCGTGTGCCGACATGGGGCTGTGTCTGGGGGCTGTGCCGACATGGGTGGCGGGACCGCATGCGAACTGCGCCACTGGGACCTCCGGTGGAGTTCCCCATGGGGTCACGAAACGTGCGAGTAGGGTGACGACATGGATAGCGGGACCGCATGCGGGCGGCGCCACGGAGCCCTTCAGTGGAGGTCCCTATGGGGCCACGAATGGCCTTCCGTGGAGCTCCCAAGGGGGCAATGAAACGTGTGAGGGGTGTGCCGACATGGGTGGCGGGGACGTATGCAAACTTTGCCACTGGGACCTTCGGTGGGGATCCTTATGTCGCCACGCAGCGTGTGAGAGCGTGCCGAAATGCGACGGGGACGCATGCGGGCTGCCTACTGGGACCTTCGGTGGAGCTCCCTATGCTGCGCCACTGTGACCTTTGGTGGAGCTTCCTATGGGGCCAAGAAGCGTGCGAGGAGTGTGACGACATGGATTGCGGGACCGCATGCGAACTGCGCCACTGGGACCTTCAGAGGAGCTCCCTATGCGGCCACGAAACGTGTGAGGAGGTGTGCCGAAATAGGTGTCGGGATTGCATGCGAACTCTCCCTATGTGGTCGCGAAGCGTGCGAGGGGCATGCCGAAATGCGGCGGGGACGCATGCGGGCTGCGCCACTTGGACCTTCGGTGGAGCTCGCTGTGGCGCCACGAAACATGTGAGAGTTGTGCAGAAATGCGGCACCGCATGCGAACGGCGCCACTGGGACCCTCGGTGGAGCTCGCTATGGAGCCACGAAACGCATGAGGGGTGTGCCAAAATGGGCGGCGGGACCGCATTCAAACTGCGCCACTGGGACCTTCGGTCGAGCTCGAGCTCCTTATGGAACCACGAAGCGTGTGAGGTGTGTGCACAAGCTGATGGCAACAATGGTGATGATGACCGCGATGCTGATGGTGATGATGATGATGATGATGATGATGATGATGATGATGATGACGATGATGACAAGGATGATGATGATGAAAGGATGATGATGAGACTGATGATGATGATGGTGATGATGAGATATGATGATGACGACGATGATGACGATGATGATGCTGATGGTGTTTACGATGATGATTGTGATGAGAGTGATGACGACAGTGCTTATGTTGATGATGGTGATGCTTATGACGATGGTGATTAGGATGATGATGATGATGATGATGATGATGATGATGATGATGATGGTTCTGACTGTGGCTGTGATGGTGACGAAGATGATTATGGTGAGGAGGTGTATTATGATGATGATACTGAGGATTATGCTGATGATGAGGGTGAGAATGAAGAGGATGATACTGGCGGTGATGATGACGACGATGATGGTGATGCTGATAACGATAATGCTGATGATGTTGATGATGCTGAAGCTGATGACGGTGATGACACTGATGAGGATGATGATGATGATTGTGGTGGTGATGATGAAGATCGTGACACACGTAATACTAATATTGGTAATAATCACAATGCCCATAGGAAAAACAAACCTCAGCATAATAATGAGAACGCTAATTATGAGGCTGATAATGATAATGATGGTGGTGATGATGATGACGGCGATGCTGATGAAGATGATGATGAGACTGGTGATGATGATTATGATGGTGGTGATGATAAGATACGAAGATAACGACGATGATGACGATGTACATGATGCTGATGGTGTTTACGATGATGATGGTGATGATTATGGTGACGACGGTGATGGTGATGTTGATGATGATGCTAATGCTGATGCTGCTTATGATAATGATGCTGGTGATGATGATGGTCAGCATTACGGTTACGATGATGAAGGTGATTATGGTGAGGAAGTGGAAGGTGATGATGATGATGATGACGCTGAGGATGATGCTGATGAAGAGGATGGGGATGATGAGGATGATAACGATGATGATGATGATGATGATGATGATGATGATGATGATGATGATGATGATGATGATGATGATGATGGTGGTGATAATGATGATGATGCTGATGATGTTGATGATGCTTTTGGCACTAATGATGATGGTAATGATGATTGTGGTGGTGACGATGATGATGATCATCGTGAAACTGAAAATGATACGTAAAACAACCAAGGGGCCAATGAGAATGATAATCATCATCAGAACAATCGTAATGCTAATGATGATGTTGATAATGATGCTGATGATGATGATGATGATGATGATGATGATGCTGGTGGTGATGATGATGGCGATGGCGGTTATGCTGATTATGATGATGGTGACGACGATGATGATGATGCTGATGATAATGATGGTGGTTGTGGTGGTGATGGTGATGGTGATGGTGATGGTGATGATGATGGTGATGGCGGTGGTGATGATGATGATGATGATGATGACGATGACGATGATGATGATGATGATGATGATGATGATGATGATGATGATGATGATGATGATGATGATGATGATGATGATGATGATGATGATGGACGAGTGGAGAGGAGGAGAGGAGGAGGAGGAGGAGGGGGGGAGTGGGGAGGAGGGGGAGGAGGAGCGAGGAACGCGGAGCGCTGTCTCTTCAAAACGAGGACCCAACACCAAAGGATGGCTGGGGGAAACTACCCTTGGGCCATGTCAACCTCAGTCCTGTGAAGGGAAGAGGAGGCAGAGCAGAGGAGGAGGAGGAGGAGGAGGAGGAATAGGAGGAGGAAAAGGAGGAAAACGAGGAAGAAGAGGAGAGAGAGGAGCAAAGGAAGAAGAGGAAAGAGGAAGGGAGAAAGAAACAGCGGGGCCGGCGCCAAAAGCGCAGCCGGGGGTGCGACGGGATGGGCCCAGCGCCGACCCAAGGCAACCACATGTGGGAGACGACAAGAAATCGGCCCTTCGCGGGATGGCATAGCGACCTCACGCCGCGGTTTACGCGGGCCGCCAGCGCGGCACGCCGCATTGGAAACGAGGGCGCCTACGAGCGACCTTCGGCGGGCAGCTTACGCGCCCCTGTCGGCGCAGCTGACCCCGCTTTCTTCGTCCGCCACGTGTGAACCCAAACCCTGCAGGTCTGATTTCTGAAGAGCCGCTCGGGTTCAGAGTCTGACGGATGCCTGCGGCCGGGTGGAACCTGGGGGGGGTGCCACATGCCCCGACGTCGATCGGATCCGCATGGCTGGGGTTCGCGAGTGCCCTGACTCCGGATCCGCCCTACTTCGGCTTTTTTTCCAACTTAAAATTGCGTCGGAAATCCACCTATAAGAGGCCGAAAAAGTAGGGCGGAAATTGCTGCACCCAACATAAAATAGGGCGGAAACCCACAGAAACAGCAACAGAAAAGTAGGGCGGAAATTGGCATCAACGGGGCTCGAAAAGTAAGGCGGAAATTCCAAGCCCCACTTACGAATTTCCCCAAAGTAGGGCGGATCCGGAGTCAGGGATGGCTGGGGTTCGCGAGTGGTCGCAGAAAGAGCCGGAGAAAGAAAACGGTAGGAGTCCGCACGGAACGCTTGGACTTGCGAGCCCCCATCTCGGGCCGCGGCGGCAGTCAGAGATCGGCCCCGGGTGGTGGCCTGGCCGAGACATGGACACCAGGATGGGTCTGGGGACCGCCCTTGAGCGAAACATAGAAGAAGAAGAAGAAGAAGAAGAAGGAGAAGAGGAAGAAGAATCACGATCAACGGCGTAAACATAAACTTTCGATGGTTGCGCGTCTTTCTTGGATCTGCGCTGAGCCTCCCTCCCTGGCGCGCGGAGTTCCGATGGTTCGCGCGGATTTCTTGGATCTGCGCTGGGCCTCCCTCCCCGGCGCGCGGAGCGCGCCAGAGGCGGCGCTGAATGCGCCACGCGCGAGGCCCAGCGCAGATCAAAAACATCCAAGCGGAGCTCCGAAAGCTTATGTTTATGCAACTAGTGTATTCGATGTGTCGCCCCCGTGCATGGACATTCTATTCGAACCCTGTGGCCCAAGATGCCCCCCAGACCCCCCGAAATTAATATTGATGGCGTGGCGACGGGGGGGGGCATGAGTGGACAGAACTATTCGAACCCCAGAGCACCGCCTTTACCGAGATCAACATTGATGTTGGGGGCGCGGGGCTGATTTAGAATCTCCCTCGGATGTGTAAGGGTTCGAATATATTGTCCATCTACATCCATCTACTCCAGATTTCGTAATAAAAGGGAGGGGGTCTGGACCCTCCAAGACAAGCCATTTCAGACCTCCCCCCCGTGGGAGAACCCTCCAAAACATCGTCCCCAGACCCCCCCAGGCCCTCCAAGATAGCCTGGAAGAGCCCCCCCCCCGAAATGAGACCCCCCTCCCTTTATCACGAAATCTGGAGTAGCAGGCGGGCCGCCCCGATTTTCGCAGAGGCGCGCCACCGCTGGAGTCTTCCGCCCAAGAGGGCCGCAAGCCTCGGGCATGGAAGCCCGACCTCCACACTGGAAGCCTTTTGCCCCTCCATTCTGGGGCCCTGTTCTCCTCCAGGTTGGGCGCTCGACTGCCAGCACGGCGGTTTCCAATCCCTGGGCGCTCTCCTTGGGGAGGGTGCCGAAGTCCGCCAGCACCTGCTCGGCCTGCTTGCAGCTCGCCCTGGGGTTGTGCTCCTCGACATGCCTGGGACGCACCTCCTCCTCCTCCTCCTCCTCCTCCTCCTCCTCCTCCTCCTCCTCCTCCTCCTCCTCCTCCTCCTCCCCCTTAGAGGCGCAAATCCGAATCAAACATGTGAGACAAACCTCTTCTACAGCATGGCTGAGGGAGACCAATAAGCAACACTGTCCCCCTCCCCCGCAGTCCAAGCTCAGCACCGTTGCACATCACCGCTCGGACGCTCAGGCTCGGAAGATCCGAAACCAACGTTGCATTCGGGGGGAGGGGGGAGCTCAAGCCAGAGGTTACGCGTGAGCGGTGCTCAACTGTTTCCGACGCCTGCATCGCTCACAGGGCGGTATCGCTCAAAAGGCGCCTGTCACCGAGCACATACTGTCAGAACTCTGAGCGCGCGCGTCGCCCCTGGGGGGCCAACGCGCACACACGTAGTCTTAAGTCGGGCCTGTCCCCCTGCAGGGAGATGTTCGACGAAACATAAAAAATGCCCCAAGAATAGTCCAAAAATAGTCTGGGGACTATTTTTCTAATATTATTTGACCTTTTGGGGGCATTTTTGGGGGTATCTTTTACTGTTCGTCGAAAATTCCCCTGTAGGGGGACACGCCCGACCTAAACGTAGTCTGAGCACGCTTGGGTGATGCCGAGTGCCTGCTGAATGTCTCGTGCAGGGGGATCAGGTCCTGCCGGAGCTCCGCGAAGGCGTCGGGGCCGATGCCGGCCTCCTCCTTGATCTTCCGCTCGCGCTCGCTGACGATCCTCTCGACCATCTCGCGGCTGCGGACGATCATGTCCTTCTCTCGTGCTGTGTCGGACGGAAAGACGAGTAGCAACGGGGGGCTCAGCGAATCAGCTCTCCCCGGCGCCTCCTGGCCAAGAGGCGCCCATGCATCGAGGAGCACGCCTGGCAGCGAGGCCGAGACCAGCTGCACAAAGCAGATTTCGCCCATGATAGCCCCCCCCTACAGGGCAGTTCTTAATTCATAGGATGTTCAAAATATAGGATTTCTAATACATGAACAAAGTATGAGTAAATTGGTGCATGAACTTGTCGTTGTCATTGATACTCAACGCCTGCATCTTTTTATACATGACCCGCACGCGGAGCATGTACTCCAGATCTCGTAATAAAAGGGAGGGGGTATGGACCCTCCAAGACAAGCCATTTCAGACCCCCCCCGTGGGAGAACCCTCCAAAACACCATCCCCAGACCCCCCCAGGCCCTCCAAGATAGCCTGGAAGAGACCCCCCCCGAAATGAGACCCCCTCCCTTTCATTACGAAATCTGGAGTATCAAAAACGGCACTGTACGTTTCCCCCCCTTGCGTCCGACCCGATCATGCCGGGGTGCGGCGGGGGGCCCCTTCTGTCGGAGGCCTGGAAATTGGCACCAACACCAAGACAGAGGGTTGCCTCCACAGGGGGAAGAGGATCCTAGATTTTCGGTGCTGGTGGCAATAGCTCGGCCACCTTGGAAGCCAGAATATTACCACCATCACTGAGATCGGGATCTTCTTCCCCCCTTGCGTCCGACCCGACCCTTACGTCCCCCGGGGGGGGGGCGAGGAGTAATACATCCTCTGCGCCTCCTCCTCCCTCCTCCTCCTCCTCCTCCCCCTCCTCCTCCTCCTCCTCCTCCTCCTCCTCCTCCTCCTCCTCCCCCTCTCCTCCTCCTCCTCTCCTCCTCCTCCTCCCTCCTCCTCCTCCTCCTTCCTCCTCCTCCCCTCCTCCTCCTCCTCCTCCTCCTCCTCCTCCTCCTCCTCCTCCTCCTCCTCCTCCTCCTCCTCCTCCTCCTCCTCCTCCTCCCCCTCCATCCTCCCCCCTCCTCCCCCCCGCCTCCTCGAGGCCAAGGGGGTGCGGCGGGGGGCCCCTGCTGGGCCCTCCGGGGGCGCCCCCGCAGCGGCGCTCTCGGCGCGGCATCGGGAGACGGGCGAGGAGGAGCCCCGGGGGAGGGGGCTGCCAGCCCAGGTCCGGAAGGCGCGAAGGAAAGCCCAGGAGAAGGAGGCCGTGCAGGGCGGCCGCGCCCTCGCCACGGCGCTCTCGGCGCGGCTCGGGAGACGGGCGAGGAGGAGCCCCGGGGAGGGGGCTGCCAGCCCAGGTCCGGAAGGCGCGAATGACTACCTACCAGACCACCCCAACCCAACCCGAAGACCCGAATTTCGGGTTGTGGGGGGTAAGGGTTCCACATGTGTTTTTTCGATGTTTCCCCCCCCCCCCCCCACTGGAAATCGAGGGTAAATCTGAGCCTTCGGGTTTGGTAGTCGAAGCCAATCTGGCGCCAATCTGGCAGGCCCAATCTGGCAAACGGGGGCAATCCGGCGAGGGAGCCAGCGCGAATCCAGTCCGGCGAACGACCCAAATCATCCAGTTCGGCCAGGCCAGATTGGCCCTTGGGGCCCAATCCAATCTGACAGTCTGGCCTTCGACTTAGGGCGACGAGATCTATACATATCCACTGCTCCTGGCCAGGCCCATCCTGGGCCCAGGAGCTGTGTATATGCCTCCCTGGCCAGGCCAGGAGGGCGTATACACCGCTCCTGAGCCCAGGATTGGCCTGGCCAGGAGCAGTGGATATGCATAGATCTCGTCGCCCTATCGACTACCCAGGCGAGGGAAAGCCCAGGAGAAGGAGGCCGTGCAGGGCGGCCGCGGGCGCCCACCGGGTGGGCCCGACGCAAAGGGATTGCAGCGCAGCGCTCTCCAGCTGCCCCCCGTGCGACGGCGGCGCGTCCAGCGGCTCGTGGAAGCTAATTTAGAGGGCAGAAAATCCACCCCGATAATAACCACCCCGACACGCGAGGCCTTTAGTAAACACGCCCAAAGAAGGAATCGAACAGGGCAGGGCTGTTTAGTAAACGCCCAGGGCCGTTTAGTAAACGCCAATTGTCCGGTCCGGGTGGCTTTTCTTCCCTTGATAATTGTCGAGAAGGCATACAGAGGACCCCGAGCCTCCAGGAGCCTCCAGAGCGGAGGGACAGGCATGGGGAAACGCCTCCACGGATGGAGGTCGGACCTCTGATTTGAGGGTCTGGGATCCTCTGGGCAAGTTGCGCGAGAATGAGTGGAAGTGGTTGACCAGCCCCCTCCATCCACTCTTCCCGAAAGATGTCACGGCACGACGCCGATTAGGACATATATGTTTATCGTTCGCGTGTGACACACATTATGCATATGCAGTAGCGTGTGATGTTCATCACACTGGTTGCGACCTGTGCAATGAGATGTTGTGAATAAGAGATAGCATCACGTCCTAGAGTCAATCGCACAACAAGCCCAATCACACGAGTCATAACGACTCCAGCAAGCCCACCAACAAAAACTGGAAACAGACATGGCTGGATTCACATGTGGAACATCTGGATGCCACGCGCTGGATACACATCGGGAATGCAGGTTTACACGGCCCCTAGAAGGGCCAAGCACTGGAAAGACATCTGGCACCGTGCATATCAAGCTCTCCCCCAGGCCAACCACGTCATGCGTATCCAGCTTCCCGCTAATGCGGGGATAGCACAGGCGTAGCAATAGCCCATCAGAGCGCAACATGGCACAGTTTCGTGCCACGTATCCAGCTTCCCGCTAATGCGGGGATAGCACAGGCGTAGCAATAGCCCGTCAGAGCGCAACATGGTACAGTTTAGTGCAGCACAGCACCGCACAGCAAAGCACAGCGTGAGGAAACGACGGCCGTGCTGCGGAACGCTGGCAGCCCACAGGAGCCGGACGGCGCTGCCCTCCACCAATCAGACAAGCACCAAAAGCAGGACAAGCCTGACTTTGGGAAGCATGCGGGCGATCGTGTCCTGCATCTCCCCGAAGGTGATGTCGTGCTGCTTGTCGCCGACCTCGGCGGCGCGCCCGGGGGAGAAGGCACAGGCCTGCGCGCCTTCTCAGAGGGCTCCCCTGACTCCGGATCCGCCCTACTTCGGCTTTTTTTCCAACTTAAAATTGCGTCGGAAATCCACCTATATTAGGCCGAAAAAGTAGGGCGGAAATTGCTGCACCCAACATAAAATAGAGCGGACATCCACAGAAACAGCAACAGAAAAGTAGGGCGGAAATTGGCACCAGCCGGGCTCGAAAAGTAAGGCGGAAATTCCAAGCCCCACTTACGAATTTCCCCAAAGTAGGGCGGATCCGGAGTCAGGGTCAACAGGGCCTTCTGAGACGCTTTCTCTCCAAGCCATCTCCGATGCCCCGCCGCCTTCGGAGCAAGCTTGCCCCTCCTCCTCCTCCTCCTCCTCCTCCTCCTCCTCCTCCTCCTCCTCCTCCTCCTCCTCTCACTTCCCCGGGGGCTCCTCACTTCGCGCTCTCGCGCTGCGCGAAGCGCGAACCACTTCGCGCTCTCGCGCCGCCCCCAAAGGGGAGAAGAGGAGGACGAGGAGGAGGGGGGAGGAGGAATGAGGCCCGCGAAGCGCGACTAGCTTCGCGCCCTCGTGGGAGCCCTTGTTCCCCCTCCCGGCGCGCGGGCGACGACCATGTCGGCAATGACCGTCTCCATGACGGAGCGGTCCAGGCCGAGCGAGCGGGAGATCTCCATGCACTGCCGGAGCTTGAGCCTCCCTGCGCCCGTGGTGTCCATCAGCTCGAAGCGCTGCAGGAGCTTCGTGGCCTGAAGCTCGCCCAGCCTCCGCCGGGCCTCGGGGATCACGTCGAGCGCGAACGACACCACGTCGACGGACACGTCGTCGCTGTCGCCGGACGAGCGCGTCGCCTCCCTGCAGATGCTGATGATCTCAACCTTCTCCTCGGCGGTGTTGCCCCGCAGCCCGAACTCCCGCAGCACGGCGCCGATCTCGTTCCCCTCGAGGAACCCGGACTTGTCCAGGTCGAAATGTTCGAAGGCCCTCCGGATTGCAGCCAGCTCCTTCTTGGGGAGCGCACGGAACCTGCGCCACCTCTCGGGTCGGACAAAAGGGAGGGAGGGAAGTAAAGGGGGGAGAGGGGGGAGAGGGAGGGAGGGAAGTAAAGGGGGGAGAGGGAGGGAGGGAAGTAAAGGGGGGAGAGGGGAGGGAGGGAAGTCAAGGGGGGAGAGGGGGGGGTGCGAATCAAGGATGGCTGGCGCCAGCGTATCGAGGAAGAGCGCCCCGGGGAGGGGGCCGAACCAGCTGCACGCAGCAGACTTAGCAACTGCAGTCGGCCCTGGGCCAAAGGAACATCCCTCGAACGAAGGATTGCAAAAAAAACGAAAGGTTTTTGTGCAATCCTTGGGTTTTTTTTGCAATCGAACATGAGACCCTCCGCCGGCCAAAACACCCAGAACATCCAGGGGTCACCCTCCCCAGGATGCTCAAGAACATCCAGCAAACACGAAGAACATAGGGTCCCCTCCCCGAGCCGATATCGATCTTATACCTCGGTCCGACTGTATACCCCCCCTTCGTCCGACCGGAACCTCTCGGACCCCTGCTCATCGCACCTGGACTGCAAGAGCTTCTCCTGCCGCCGCAGCGTCAGCCGATGGTAGAGAGCCCAAAGTTGGCGTTAACATAAACTTTGGGATTACTGCGCGGGCGCTGGACCCCCTCACTACGCCCCTTCCCTGGCGCACAGGGTGCGGGGCTTGGAGGGGGAGTGGGAAGGGTCCACCGCCGGCCCAAACAAATCCGCGCGGACCTCCGAACATTTGTGCTCACGCCGCTTTTGCTCTTTTCGGCTCTCTAGATGCACACGCCCCGACACGGGGCCTTGCACGCGGCTCCCAGCCGGGTCCTGGGGCTCCGGGCCGAGGCCCTCGGGCGCGACCGAGCTCTGGAGGGAGTCCGACGACGCACACGGCACCGCTGCGCTGAGGCGGCGATGGGACGGCGTGGCATCTGGGGTGCCATCGAGGCCCGCGCTGAGGGCGGCCACTGCGCTGGGACGGCGCTGAGACGGCGTGACCACAGGGGTGGCATCGAGGCCCGCGCTGCCGCCAGCCGCAGCGCTGACACGGCGCTGGGACGGCGTGACCACATGGGGGCCATCGAGGCCCACGCTGCCAGCGGCCGGAGCGGTAAGACGGCGCTGAGACGGCGTGACCACTGGAGTGCCGTCGAGGCCCGCGCTGCACGCCGCCGCTGCGCTGAAGCGGCGCTGAGACGGCGTGGCCGTGGCCGCTGGGGGGCCATCGGGGCCCGCGCTGCTGGCGGTGCCTTCCGCGGGCTCCGCGTCGGGGGCCCCGCTGCGCAGCGACGGCCCGAACGCCGACGCGAAAGCTCGCCCCAGCGCCTGGTGGGCGTCGGCATCCGTGCCGCTGCTCGCCTCGACGGCCGCGCGCGGCTCCCGCGGCCCCGCCCTCCACCAGGGCGCCGCCCGCGCGCGCGGCGCCGCCCGCGCGCTGTGCGGCGGCGCCGGCCGCGCCCCGCCCTGCGTCGCGGGCGCGGCCCAGGCAGCCGCGCACTGTGGCGCCCCGCGCCGCGGCCGCCGCCCGCCCGCGCCCCGCTGGCCTGCTGCGGGCCCCGCGGCGCCCGCGGCGGCCGCGGGGCCCGCGGCGGGGCAGGTGCCTGGCCGGGCGCCGCCGCCTGGCGCGGCGTCGCCCGCCGCGCGGGGCTCGGCGACGGGCCGGCCGCCGCCGCCGCCGCTGCCCCGCGCACGGACGGCGGGCAGGCCGTCGGCGTCGGCCACGGCGGGCAGAGTGCGGCGGCGGGGCGGCGGCGGCCGTGGGCTCTCTGGCGGCTGGGTGAGCACGTCGTACAGGGGCAAGCCGCCGTCGGCGAGGGCAGCGGGGCAGCAGATGGTGCGCCTGCACAGCTGCGGGGCCTGAGCGGAGCGCTGGGACACCCGACGGACCGATATCCTCAGCTCGCGGGCCTCATGGCGGCCCTGGACCCCTTGCTAAGACGAAGGCAGGATGAGGATGCATTCGGATGAAGGAAATTGGGAATCTCTGAGAGCTGGCGTGTCTGAAGGATGTATCGGGCGCCGCGGTCGTTTCAGAGCCTAGAAGGCTATTCGAGCGTCCTGGAACGCTCTACAATGATGTATCATCATCCTCCTCCTCATCATCCTCATCCTCATCCTCATCCTCATCCTCATCCTCATCCTCATCCTCATCCTCATCCTCATCCTCATCCTCATCCTCATCCTCATCATCAGCAAAAACATCATCATCATCACCATCATCATCGTAGTCGTCGTCATCATCACCATCATCATCAGCAGCAGCATCATCATCATACCAGCATCATCATCATAAACACCACCACAACCATCATCATCACCATCAGCATCCTTTTCATCAACATCATCACCATCGTTATCATCAGCATCATCATGAGCATCATCATCAGCATCATCATATTCGACATCAACATCGTACTCATAATCATCAGCACCATCATCAGCATCATCATACTCTGAAGCAACATCATCATCATCATCAGCAGCATCATCATCATCATCATCTTCATCATCATCGTCATCGTCATCGTCATCGTCATCGTCATCGTTATCATCACCATCACCATCACGGTCATCATCATCGTCACCATCATTATCGTCACCACCACCATCACCCTTACGATCATCATCATCATCATCATCATCATCATCATCACCATGACCTTCATCATCATCATCATCATCATCATCATCATCATCATCATCATCACCATCAGCATCATCTGCCTGCCTGAGCTGCTCTGGGGGGCAACTTTTCTCCCCAAGTCCATTCCTGATGGCATTGCCCTGTTTCCGGATCCGCCGTGCTTTGGTTGATTATCATACTTAGAATTCTTGCCATAATGCATCCCTAACAATGAAAACAAATAAACGGAAATGTCAGCCTCAGAAAAGTGAGGCGGACAGGCCCGCCATGATTTATGTGCAATGTTCCGAAACTCGTAGACAGTTCCACGGAGATGCCCACAAAATATGGCGGACATCCACGAAGTAGAGCTGGAACAGCAACGGAAACAGAAGGCGGAAATGGGCACCAAAGGAGCTTGAGAAAGAGGGCGGGAGCTTCCGCCATGCTTGCGAAATCGCCCACGGTAGGGCAGATCCAGAGCCAAGGCGCGGGGCCAGAGAATCTGCCCACCGCGGAGGCCGAGCTCGAGAAAAGGGTGCCAGGGCTGCAGGGTCAACCCTGTGAGATCTGCAGCATCGCGACGTCTGTTCGGGGATGGACAGACCCCCCTCTAGCCAAACGTGGTTTAAGGAAAACGACCTGAGGCCCAAACCTGGCGGGCGCAAGCCTGGAAAATGACGGCCACGGCGCCCTCGCGAGGACCGAAAACGGACAATTCACCAATCGACGTGTCACTGTTGGGGGTTCTGCCCACCCCCGATCTGTCTGCTGCATCTCTCGGGCTGGACCGATCCGCCAGGCCGTGCGAAGACGCCCTGGTGAGAACACGGTACATTGCAAAGGATTGCAAACAAAACCCTGGATTGCAAAAAACCTTGGGTTTTGCAAAAAAAAAAACCTGGGATTGCAAAAAAAGAAGGATTGCAAAAAACCCTGGATTGCAAAAAAACCCTGGGTTTTTTTGCAACCCTGGGTTTTTTTGCAATCCTTGCAATCCTGTTTTTTTTTGCAATCCGTCGTTTTTTTGCATCTTTCGTGCAAAAAACGAAGGTTTTGTTGCATCCTTTGTTTGCATCCTTCGGGTTTTTTTTTGCATCCTTCGTTCTGCATCTCTCGGGCTGGACCGATCCGCCAGGCCGTGCGAAGACGCCCTGGTGAGAACGCGGTGCAGCGCCCGGATCGCGGGGTCCGTCAGAGGTCGGCGGGCCCAGACCTCCGACGGCCTGGCTGGTGCGCTGCAGGCCCCGCGGACCTCCCAAGAGCTTCCCTCGGCCCCGGTCGTTCGGCCCTCTCCTATCTCCTCCTCCTCCTCCTCCTCCTCTCTCCTCCTCTCCTCCATCCTCCTCCTCCTCCCTCCTCCTCCTCCTCCTCCTCCTCCTCCTCCTCCTCCTCCTCCTCCTCCTCCTCCTCCATCCTCCTCCTCCTCCTCCCTCCTCCCTCCTCCCTCCTCCCTCCTCCCTCCTCCCTCCTCCCTCCTCCTCTTCCTCCTCCTCCTCCTCCTCCTCCTCCTCCTCCTCCTCCATCCTCCTCCTCCTCCTCCTCAGGGGTCGCTGTTCCCAGCGGGGGGGCCCAGCGGGCGTGTGAACCCAGGCGGAGGGGAGGTCGAAGCCGATCTCTCGATATCTCGCTGTCTCGCTCTGGGCGGGCGCGAATTCGATATCTCGATGTCCCGATATCTCGGTATCTCGATATCCTGGGCCCGGGGGTGGGTGGGAACTCGATATCTCGATATATCGATATCGGGCCGCACCGATTCGATTTCTCGATATCTCGTTATCTCGATATCGGGGGGGCGGAGGGCCCCGGAATTGGATATCTAGATATCTTGATATCGAGGTGGGGATCCAGCGCCTCAACGCGAGGGCAGCCGATGTCGAGCGGGCTTTCGATTTTAAACGCATAGATCGAGATTTCGAGATATCGAGATATGGAGTTGCTGGCAGGTGCGAGGGCACTGGCTTCCTCGAGAGCGCTGGCCCGCGCTTGTGCCACGCAGATCCTAGGGCATTCAGATATAGCTCGGGAGGAGGAGGACAAAGGGGAGGGAGAGGAGGTTGCTCATGGTGAGTTTGTCTCGATATTTCGATATTTCGATATCTCGGGGTGGGGGACTCCGGACCTCGATATCTCGATATTTCGATATCTCCATATCTCGATATCTCGAAATGTCGATATCGGGGGTGGCGGGGGGGGACAGAACTCGATATCTCGATACCTCGATATCGAGGTTGAGTTCCAGCGCCTTGGCTCGATGGCAGCCGATGCGAGCGGGCTTTCGTCTAGACGCATAGATCGAGATATCGAGGTATCGAGTTGTCAGCAGGTGCGAGGGCACTGGCTTCTTCGAGGGCGCTGGCCCGTGCTTGCGCCAGGAGGAGGACGAAGTGGAGGGGTAGGAGGTTGCGCATGGTGAGTTTGTCCCACGTCGGAGCTCGGCGGACCTTCGCCACCTGTGACCTCTACAGTTTCGTCAAGGACTGGGGGGGGCTGTGCTGTGTGGGAGGAGGTGCGCGAGAGGAAGACAAGGAGAAGGAGTGGGGCAATGCGGACGAAGAGGTGAACAAGGCAAGGGAAAGGGAGAAGGACGACGAATACGGGCATAGCAACCTTTGTCATGCTGCGCAACGTTGCAGGGGCGAGGTGGCTTGAAGAGGGGGAAACAATACATGCAGACCTCCCCTGGCCGTCCACGGGCCGCGTGCTTGGAAACTGCGGTGTCCTGCCCTCCTGGGGCCACGAAGTGCGTGAGGGTCGTGCCGAATTGCGGCGGGCCGCCTTGCGGACCTTGCTGGCGGGGCCTGCCCGTTGGGTTTCAGGGCGGGGAGGTCTGCATGTATTGTTCTGCGGCTCTCCCGTAAGGGAAATATCACTGGAAGCAAAACAACATACTCCATTTCAGAAAAAAAGCGGGCGGCAGAGAAAAAACCTGAAACAGTAACTGACGTATCGAAAGAAACGCCGGCAAAGCGAACCAACGAATTCAAATCAGTTGGAACTTCCCGTAAAACATTGGCGGCGAATCGTCTTGTGACCAATGCGGAATTATTCAGGCGGGCTGCGTTTTGCAATCCGTTGAAGTAACTACAACGACCAAAACAACACATAATATCTTAGGCGGGCGTGGGACTCTCCCGAGAAATATTTGCAATTCTATTGTGAAAAAGCGCACCGCGTGACGCGGAAGTGCGATATTTTTCAATTCCCAACCAGACGAAACATTTCAACCCGCCCGCGGGCGCAACCGTAATCGCAACTAGGCAACAACAAAATGGCGGCGGGCTCGCTGGCCAAAATCAGTTCAAAATGGCGGCGGCGGGGGGGGGGCACCCCCCAGTCAGTACTGCAGTGAGCACCGAAGAAACCGTAGTGATAGGGAAATCCCCGACGCAATGTTGACCTGCAATCAGAGTGCAGGCTGGGCACCCAAATCGCTTTAACCTCCCCGCCCTGAAACCCAACGGGCAGGCCCCGCCAGCAAGGTCCGCAAGGCGGCCCGCCGCGATTCGGCACGACCCTCACGCACTTCGTGGCCCCAGGAGGGCAGGACACCGCAGTTTCCAAGCACGCGGCCCGTGGACGGCCAGGGGAGATTTGCACGTATTGTTTCCCCCTCTTCAAGCCACCTCGCCCCTGCAACGTTGCGCAGCATGACAAAGGTTGCTATGCCCGTATTCGTCGTCCTTCTCCCTTTCCCTTGCCTTGTTCACCTCTTCGTCCGCATTGCCCCACTCCTTCTCCTTGTCTTCCTCTCGCGCACCTCCTCCCACACAGCACAGCCCCCCCCAGTCCTTGACGAAACTGTAGAGGTCACAGGTGGCGAAGGTCCGCCGAGCTCCGACGTGGGACAAACTCACCATGCGCAACCTCCTACCCCTCCACTTCGTCCTCCTCCTGGCGCAAGCACGGGCCAGCGCCCTCGAAGAAGCCAGTGCCCTCGCACCTGCTGACAACTCGATACCTCGATATCTCGATCTATGCGTCTAGACGAAAGCCCGCTCGCATCGGCTGCCCTCGAGCCAAGGCGCTGGAACTCAACCTCGATATCGAGGTACCGAGATATCGAGTTCTGCCCCCCCCCGCCACCCCCGATATCGACATTTCGAGATATCGAGACATGGAAATATCGAAATATCGAGATATCGAGGTCCGGAGTCCCCCACCCCGAGATATCGAAATATCGAAATATCGAGATATCGAGTCGGCCGACCCGATATCGAGATATCGCGGTATCGAGATATCGAGTTGTTCGTGCCCCTCACGGCCAATCTGCCCCCACAGTGGCTTTTCACCGCCCTGCCCTGGCTCCGGATCCGCCCTACCTCGGGCGATTTCGCAAGTAGGGCAGAGATTCCCGCCCCAGTTAGCTCCTTTGGTGCCGATGTCCCCCTGATGTTTCCGTCGCTGTTTCGTTTCCGCCTCCTTTTGCGGAGATCGACGCCCTACATCTCTGATGCGGGAATGTCCGCCATGATTTTTGGCACCGCTTGGGGTGCATTTTCGACATAGGGCCAACATGGGAAATCAACCAAGCCACGGCGGACCCCGAGCCAGCGCAGCGCGTCCACCCGGATGCAAGGCCACTGCGCTGCACACAGCGAGAAAAAAATAGAGCCGTCGGAGATCTGGGAATGGAGAACGTCTGGTTTTGGGGGAGGGCGCGGCGCCAGCGATCGCGCGCCGCGGTCGGAGCCCGAGCGGCACGCGGAGTGGCGACGGGCGCATCCGACGGCGGGGGGGCGGCGCAGGAGGACGGCCCGCGGCGGAGGGAGCGGAGGGAGGGCGGCGCTCGCAGGCCGCGCCGCGGCCACCGGGCTTTGGGCTTTGAGACTTTTTCGGCTCGCGAGCGACGCGGGCAGCCGCGCGCCGTCAAACAGGTCGTGAAAGCGCAGGCCAGGCACGGGCAGCACGCGGAAAAGGGCCACAGCGGAGGCGAGAACAACGCAGCGGAAGCGAAACGAACGAAGCTCTGGGCTGGGGGCTGGAGACGCGCAGTGGGACGAGAGCGTGCGGCCTGCTGTCTCGTCTGCGGGGGGTGCGGCAGGGTGCCCCTGGCCCCAGGTGTCCCCGGCTCTTCGCTGCCTCTTGGAGCCCTTGGGGCCCCCTGGGCCTCGTGAGGGGTTCCCTGGAGGCCGTGGGGGCCCTCTCGGAAATCCTGGGGGGCACCTCGCGCCAGGAGCACTTCTAGCAACACCCGACCTGTGTGCATCGGAGGGCCATGGGGAACCCGTGATTCTCTCACAAAGCAGACCTCTGGAGGTCTCAGCGCATGCCCATGGACCGGCTTTTCATCCCGAATTGTTCTTTGACGGTCCCTGGGCCTGGCCATCGCTCGGACGTCCACTCCCTGTGTTTTTTTCGGTTTCGTGCGTGGCGTTTTCGCCAAATGATCAAGGATGCTCCTCGATTGTCCCCTCCGAAGGAAAAAATGCACACGTCCGAGCGATGCCAAGGGGCTTGGGCACCTCGAGCGCGGAAAGAGCAACACAAAACAAATAACATAAAACTCCCGCCGCGACTCGTCCACGACGCGAGGGGGCCCCCGACCCCGGATCTCTGGAGTCGACTTCGGCCCCGCTTTTGCTTCGCTGTTTCCGCCCTACCTTTTTGTGGGTGCCCTCCCTATTTCGGGGATGGACAGACCCCCCTTTAGTAAAACGTGGTTTAGTGAAAACGACCTGAGGCCCAAACTTGGCGGGCGCAAGCCTGGAAAATAACGGCCACGGCGCCCTCTCGAGAGCCGAAAACGGACAATTCACTAATCGACGTGTCACTGTTGGGGGTTCTGTCCAGCCCCGACTATTGCTCCACCATTTTGTCGACCTTTCCCACAAAAGTGTGGCGCACATGTCCGCCTCCCTTCTCTGAGGCCGATATTTCCGCCCTTCTTGCTTGCATCGCTTGCGGCACAGTTCCGGCACAACTCTCAATTTCAGAATCAACCAAGGTCGGCGGATCCGGGGTCAAGGCAAAAGGCCGAAAACAACAAAAACCATACCTCGCGATTTGTTTCACGACGAGTGGCGGTCTGGGGAGCGGGCGGCACTCAACTGGGTCAGCACAAACCAAGGCCATGTCGCGAAGCCAGGCTAGCTGCCGAGTAGCTCCCAAACCCGGGTCCGCGGAGGGCGGAAAGGGGGAATCGGCGCTCCCAACCCCGGGTCGGCCAGAGGGGATTGGTTGACCATCGTTAGCGCTGACCCCCGTTGCGGAAGCCCCGACTGGGGAGCGGACCGCGGCGTCCGAAGCCGCGGGCAGCGGCGTCTGGGAGGCGCCGCCCGCGAGAGCCAGCGGCGGGCAGGGCGCGGCGCTGGCAGCCCTGCCCGGCTGCGAGCGGCCTCTCCTTGCGGCGTGCGCCGAAGATCGGGTGCACGCAAGAGTGACCGCACCATCGCCCCCGCAGTTGCGGGCAAGAGTGGGGGGGCGGCGGGGCTGCTAAACAGGAGGAAGCAGGAACAACAAGCATTCCACAACAAGCCCGCCGCAGGAAGCGCCCTCAATTTTCGTCAAGCCAATGTGGGTGGGTCACGGGTGGGTCGCGGGTGGGCCGCGGGTGGGTCGTGGGCGGGTCGCGGGCGGGTCGCGAGCGGGTCGCGGGTGGGTTGCGCGTGGGTCGCGGGCGGATCGCGGGCCCTGGGCAAGAATGACCTTCCCAGACATTCTCGCGTCGTGAAACAATCACGATGGGCGGTCTTTCGCAACTATAGAGACAAGGGGGCCCTTGCTGGGAGAGAGCGGCCCTGGGAAAGGAGTCGGGACTTCCAGGGACCGCGTATAGAAAAAACGAAACAAGACGTCCTGCTGTACGTCCTCGGGCTGCTTCCCTGCGAATCCGGAACGGCCGACCAGCCCCTGGACCCAGCGATGCAGGACCAGAAAGGGTGGAACATGAGCGGATACCTCTTCAGCCTTCTCCTGGGGCTGGACGCGGGAAACCTCGTCTACAACGCCACCATGGCAGTACTCCGTCAGGACAGCCGCACTGGGTGCGCACGTCTCCAGCGAACTGGAGATAGAAGACGCAAAGATCCCCAAGCAGATCGAGCGTCCCGAGCGGCACCAAGCGCTCCCGCCCTGCTGCCTGGTCTGCCGCTACGTGCGAGTGCCAGCGCCACCGTGACGCTCCTACCCCGGACAACTTCAGGGCCTTCTGGGAGATGCCCGGGCACAAAGGCGTCACGAAAGTCACGCACCTGCTCAAGGACGCGTCGGGCGCGCCTGCTGGACCCTCCTAGCCTTGAGCTTGCTCGCCCCAAGAGAGCCGCGTAGATGCCCCGTCCCCTATTGAAGGGGCCCTGGGACACACAAATAAATAGACACGAATAACAGGATTCCCCATATTTCCCAATATTTCCTGGGTTTTCGTCGTCCCCCCAGTTCCCATATTTTCCCGCATTGTCTGGGGAATCGACGATTCCTTGTGTCTGTGGGTGTTTGTTTCCCTCCTGACCTATACAGAAGCCGCGCACCCTGCAGGCCACCCCGAACGTGATCGACGCGCTCCTCCCCCTCTGCGGACCTTGCCGCGCTGGCCCAGGACGAGCTGCGCGGCCGGCGCCCTGCCCGCCGACGAGCCAAGGGCTCCCAACTTCGCGCTTTGCGCTGCGCGAAGCGCGAAGTGCAGATAACTTCGCGCTCTCGACGATTAATTGTGTCTGACCTACAGTCGGGGCGTTGACCTAAGGAACCCTAAATAAGGAACGATTCCCCTTCTCTCCACACACTGGACCTCGATTTCCCATGGAAAACCTAAGAAAAACCTGAGGCAAACTGCGAAACACCTAAGGAACGCGGAGCCCCTCCCCAACGAAAAGGGTTCCTTCTTCAGGGCCCCGACTGTATGGGGGTCTGGACCCTCCAAGACAAGCCATTTCAGACCTCCCCCGTGGGAGAACCCTCCAAAACATCGTCCCCAGACCCCCCAGGCCCTCCAAGATAGCCTGGAAGAGACCCCCCCCGAAATGAGACCCCCCTCCCTTTATTACGAAATCTGGAGTACGGGTTCCATGTGTTTTTTCAACGTTCCCCGACCCCCCCCAACCGGAAATGGAGGGCAGATTGAAGCCTTCGGGTTGGGTTGGGGTGGTTTGGCGGGTGGTGAGGAGGGGAGCCACGCTCCGGCCCTTGCAGTCGCTCGGACGTCCATTCCCTGTGCATCTTTCGGCTTCGTGCGTGCTCTTGTCTGCTCGATGCTCCAGGCTGCTCCTCCAGGGTCCTCGCCGAGAAAAAAAAATGCACACGTCCGAGAGTAATTGTGTCTGACCTATGCAGAAGCCGCGAGGCCCCAGGCGACGCCCTCGAGGCCGCGCTGGGCTTCTGCCCGCCGCACCGCCCCACGGCCAGGAACGGTGCGGGGACGACCGCGCGGGGCCGCGTGCGGCCTCTCGGGAGTCCCCACCTCCTCCCCCTCCTCCTCCTCCTCCTCCTCCTCCTCCTATCTCCTCCTCCTCCTCCCATCTCCTCCTCCTCCTCCCCCTCCCCCCTCATTCTCCTCCCTCCTCCTCCTATCTCCTCCTCCTCCTCCTCCTCCTATCTCCTCCTCTCCTCCTCCTCTCCTCCTCCTCCTCCTCCTCCTCCTCCCCCCTCCTCCTCCTCCTATCTCCTCCTCCTCCTCCTCCTCCTCCTCCTCCTCCTCCTCCTCCTCCTCCTCCTCCTCCTCCTCCTCCTCCTCCGCCTCCTCCTCCTCCTCCTCACGGTGCGCGTCCGCCCGGCGGCGATCGGGCCAAAGGAGGTCCGCCAACCTCTCGGGAGGCTCCGCGAGCGCCGCCCGGCGCTGGGAGTCCTCACCTCTGCGCCGCTCCGCGCGGCGCTGGGGGGAGCCCGTCCGAGCCACGTCGGCCCTGGCCGCAGCGGCCCGCGTCCGCCCGGCGGCGATCGGGCAGAAGGATGTCCAGAAACCTGGACCCGAGGGGGCGGAATGCGAGGCGGGGACTCATCCATGTCCGCCGCCTGTGAACCGGCGTCCTGGTGCCCCAGCGGGCGGTGGATATGGATACATTTCTTGATCTTTATCGCCACGACCACGACCAGAGGAGCACCACTCTCTCTCTCTCTCTCTCCCTCTCTCTCTCTCTTTCTCTTTCCTCTCTCTCTCTCTCTCTCTGTATATACACATTTTTGGAGGTCCACGCGGACCGTCGAAATTGCATGTTTATGCAATTGTTTTTGCGCCTTTTTGCGGCTCTGGGGCGGGGACAAGGAGGAGATGAATGGGAAGAGGAGAAGAGGGAAGAGGAGATAGGGGGAGGATATGGGGGAGGAGGAGGAGGAGGAGGAGGAGGAGGAGGAGGAGGAGGAGGAGGAGGAGGAGGAGGAGGAGGAGGAGAGGAGAGGAGGAGGAGGAGGAGGAGGAGGAGAGGAGGAGGGAGATAGGAGGAGGAGGAGATAGGAGGAGGAGGAGGAGGAGAGGAGGAGGAGCGAGGAGGAGCGGTTCGGTAAAGTCCCGATCCTCGGCCCCCCGCCGCCCGGGGTGGTCGCGGGCCGCTCCTGCGGCAGGGGCAGCCGCAGCGGGTCCTCGCGGGCGACGCGCTCCCGGGGGCCTCCCCGCGCCGGGAGCAACAAAGCCATGACGGAAGGCTTTGTGGCAACCTCCTCCTCCTCCTCCGCCTCCTCCTCCACCTCCACCTCCTCCTCCTCCTCCTCCCTGCGTGCCGTTAAGGCGCTGGAACGGGGGCCGCTTGGGGCTCGGAAGGGCCTCGCTGCTCCTGTAGGTCATTCTGTGCTGCTTCCTCTCGCCTTGTGGAGAAGTCGACTAATGGAGAGGAAGCGTGCTGCCAAATCATTTCCATATGTCCAAAAAGTGTTTCAAACATGTTTGAAATCTGTAAAATCATGTTTGAAACATGTGTAGAACATGTTTTACACAGTTTAAACACACTGTTAATTTAATGATAGGATTGTCAGAGTGTCCATAGTCATGGCATCCACAACTCTAGCCCGCCTCGTGCACGCAGACGCTTTTGGTACCCAAGTGGAGCTTCGTTCCTTGCTTTGCGTTCCTTATTTCAGCAGCCCGACTGTAAGGCGAGATCGTTTCGTGCCGATTTCGGCGTTGGTTTCTGACACCGTGGGGATCGTTCAACCTGGAACCATTGGCCGTCTCCGAAACGTTGGATCTTTACGCATCGCCGATTCTGGATCGCTGGCGGGGGTCAACGCTGAACGCCGCCGGCGGGGTCGCCGCCGGTCGACACGACGCGACCTACCGTAGGGAGTTGCTTAGATGGGGGAGGCGACAAACAATAACATGTGCACCTTTCGTTTCCATTCTGGACCCCAGGGAACCCACCAAGGCACACGAAAGGTGCACCTGTCCCCCCCCCCATGTATCGTCCCCCCCCCCATTACGCAGGGCTCAAATGTTTGACAATTTGCAGCCTCTGGGGGCTATTGCCAATGGGCAGCCGCATGTGGACCCACCCCTGCACACCAGAAGTCTGAAAAACCAGCCGGGGTTCTAAACTTGACGGATGCCTGCAGTCAGGCCGAGGCCAGCGGGGGTGCCCGAGACCTCGTCGTCGATTTGACCCTGAGGTGCAAGACAGCCCATGGTCGACTCGACAAATCGGATCGGCGATCGAAGTGAACCGGGTCGGCGAAAATCGGCAGCCCAGTCGGGAGAAGTCGAATCGGCGGAAATCGGCAGGCTAGTAATGCTGCCGTTCCGATGTCGAATCGAATCATAATCGGTATCGGAATCGCAGGTGCATCGAATCGTAGGGCTCGAGATGAGCCCTGCAGGGGCAAGGGCGAGGCCCCAGGACTGCCAACAAAACATCTCGGGGGGGAACGCTGGTGCCAGGGAAAGGCCGAAAACGCACGACGACGGCGGTCGGGGCCACACATCGGACATGAGACAAACAAATCAAGGATGGAGGCCTGTCGTCGCTTCCGGAGGCTCGGGCCCCGGTGGCCGTCAAAGATCGACCCAGGGCGGCAGGAGGGGGCAGCGGGACCGTGCTCGAGCGGAACTTGTTTCAGCTGGCGGGCGCCGAGGAGCCGAAGCAGGCAAGCGCCGGTCGAGCAACGGGCGGAGCTCGCTGGAAGCGAATTGGGGCACGGCGCAACGCGGGGAGAGCAGGGGGGAGGAGAGGACATAGCTTGGGCGCCCGAGTCATCCGGGGTAACTCGGGTCCGGGGTAACTCGGGTTTGGGTTCCCGAAAAACGAACCCGAGTTATCCCTGACCCGAGTTACCCCTGATGATTCGGGCTCGGATGCCCAGTTATCCGGGTAACTCGGGTCCGGGTAACTCGGGTTTTGGGTTCCCGAAAAAGGAACCCGAGTTATCCCTGACCCGAGTTACCCCTGATGATTCGGGGCTCTGGACGCCCGAGTTATCCGGGGTAACTCGGGTCCGGGTAACTCGGGTTCGGATTCCCGAAACAGGAACCCGAGTTATCCCTGACCCGAGTTACCCCTGATGATTCGGGGCTCTGGACGCCCGAGTTATCCGGGGTAACTCGGGTCCGGGGTAACTCGGGGTTGAGTTCCCGAAAAACGAACCCGAGTTATCCCTGACCCGATTACCCCCCTGATGATTCATCGGGGCTCTGGACGCCCGAGTTATCGGGTAACTCGGGTCCGTGGTAACCACGGGTTCGGATTCCCGAAAAACGAA